ATATTTCTGTATCAGTTGGTAAATAGCTACTATCCTAACTGCCTCCCAGGGCCACTGCCTCTAAACCCCAACACCAGTGCCCCGAGACGGTCTCAAGTTCCAGCAACTACAGCATTAAGCTTGACCCACAGCAGGCTTCCAGAACCTCCCACATCATATAATGGTCCATGTCCTCTGTGCAGCCTGGTTGATACCTGAGCCATATTGATCGTTAAATATTTGGGGGAGGTTGGGCCACCGGGGGGCGGGGGCTGAGGGCTGGGGAGCTGCCTATCCAGGAATGGGCTAGAACCCTCTTGTGGAGCTGTGTCTGTGGTAGCCTAATGCCCCATTCTTCATTAGGTTCACTTTATGCTGGGACAATGATAGTCACCAGCCAATTTGACGTTGGGAAATTATCAGCATTATCTGTAACCACTTTACTTTTTTTTTTTTTAATCCTGCTCTGGGTAACCATGAAATTTAAGCACAAGTAACATTTAAAAAAAAAAAAAAGAGAGAGTAGCTAACTCGGATTTGCCCTTGGATTACTCTACATTTAAACAAATCACAAAAGAGATTAGAGAGCTTCCATTTGACCCAGAAAAAAGAAGTATAATGCCAAAGTGGACAGTGACAGTATAATCTATTTATAACCATCCTCTTAAGAGATACTGAATTTTGTAAAAGGCTGAATGTTTTAGGAAAAAGCCAACTATGGCAGGAAGTAAATAAATACAAGTGGCTTGTGCTTGCTTACTCATTTAGCAAAGTATTCTGAAGCAATTTTTTACACAAAGAAAATCCTTAGATGCTTAATATTTATCCTAGAAATATAGGCATTCTTGGGGCGCCTGGGTGGCTCAGATGGTTAAGCGTCTGCCTTCGGCTCAGGTCATGATCCCAGGGTCCTGGGATCGAGCCCTGTATTGGGCTCCCTGCTCGGCGGGGAGCCTGCTTCTCCCTCTCCCTCCACTGTTCCCCCTGCTTGTGCTCTCTCACTCTTTCTGTCAAATAAATAAATAAAATCTTAAAAATATATATATAGGCATTCTTCAAACTGTACAATAATTGAGCTTGGAATATCAATTTTGTGGTGAATTTTTATTTTTAGAAAAGCATCTAGAAGGCAAGAGAAAAACAGTTTGGCAGTTTCTCAATAAGTTAAACATAGAATTACCACGTGACCCAGCAATTTCACTCCCAGGTATATACCCAAAAGAATTGCAACAGGTTTTTAATTAATAACTTGTACATGAACATTCATAGCAGCATGATGCACAACAGCCCAAAGGTGGAAACAATTCAAAAGTCCATTAATGGGTGAATGGATAACTGAGATGTGGCACGTTCGTGCGGTGGAATATTATCCAGCCGTAAAAAGGAACGAAGCGTTGCCACCTGGTACAACATGGATGAACCTTGAAAGCACGATGCCGAATGAAGGAAGCCACACACAAAAGGCCACATGCTGTGTGATTCCATTTGTATGAAATGCCCAGAATAGGCAAATCTGTAGAGACAGGAAGCAAGGGCTATGGGAAGGAGAGAATGGTGGTACAGGGGACCTTTGGGGGTGATGAAAATGCTCTGTAACAAGAGAATGGCAGTGGTCACATAGCATGATGAATGTACTAAAGGCCGCTGAATTGTACACTTGAAAATGATTAAATTGAGCGGCGCCTGGGTGGCTCCATTGGTTGAACATCAGACTCTTGATTTCGGCTCAGGTCCTGATCTCAGGGTCCTGAGATCGAGCCCTGCCTTGGGCTCCCAGCTCAGTGCTTGTGCGTGCTCTCTCTCTCAAATAAATAAATCTTTAAAAACAATACAATAATAAAATGGTTAAATTGAGGGGCGCCTGGCTGTCTCAGTCACAGGAGTATGTGACTCTTGATCTCAGGGTTCTTAATCCCAGTCCCACACTGGGTGTAGAGAATACTTAAATAAATAAAACTTAAGAAAAAATAATTAAAAAATAAATAAAATGGTTATACTGATGAATTTTGTCATAGACCTTGTACCACAATTTTTAAAAGGAAGAGAGAAGAGAAGCTGACTGGGCTGTGAGATCCTGAGAACGTGGGTTCACGAAGCGGCTGCTCTGAGGGAGCACCAGCACCAGCCCCCCCCCTTCCTAACGCACCCACCTCTGGCTCTTCTTCCTGCAGTCAGCAGCACTTCCTCCCCAGCTGGCTTTCTTTGTGTTTTTTTCCAAGAACTCTCTAATGAGGTTTTTAGTCTTCAATATTTAACTGCTTTCATCACAATGAAAAGACTCTTTTCCTGATACTTTATGTGAAGGAACTAAAGACAAACTACTCTTTGCTCATAAAAATAAGTCATTGTTCCATCCAACCAGAAATGTTTTAGCTCTGTTTTTAAGTGGAAGCTTGTAACAGGGTCCAAGCCAAAGAAGCTTCAGGTAAAAAACCGTTTGACAGCCACAGAGGATTACCGTGAGCCAGCTGGGGTGACCAGCTCTCCGGACTGGGAGCTGTGGGAATGGCGGCATGAGAGGGATGGCTCTCTGTACGTGTAGCCCATTGCCAAGATCAACACAGAGCTTCCCTACTTTCAATGTCAGCTTGCCTTCACATGTGCATGTGGTAAATACTTACGTCATTACAATTGTGCATGACCAGGAATAGAAACATCTCGTTTCTTGTCTGTGGAAAATATGCAAAATCCTTTTACACATACACATACACACAAACATTCAATTTTAGATTTCCTATAGATTTCTGAGTCAAAAACAACATCTAAGGCTGCTATTTTAAAACCGAATTACAGAATTTTTTATGACAGGAAACTATCTTAACAATGACACCTTATTTCCTGAAAACTACGAGAAAATTCCACATATTTCCATGTTGACTTTACCAGAGTGCAAAGGCTATAATTCCTACATCTTAGTCACACAAATGGGTATTGCATATGTCATTTGAAACTAAGCATGCTTTACATTCCGAGGTCTTGCTCAGTGTTTAAGAAATATATAAAGGTTGGGGCAAATTGAAATATGTAAAAAATATTAACACTTGAGAAAGGTTCAGATTTACTTTGATTTTAACTGAGACATCACTGCTGAATAACTGAAAGGCTTTCAAAAACCATTTAATCTAATTTTGTATTATTAATTTCAACATCCCTTCTAACAAAGTTTTTCTGTATCTGGATACAAGGTGCTATCCTTTTTTTTCTTCCTAGCTTAGAAGTAGCAGTAAAAGGACACAAGATACAGACTTTTCTGTAGTCACTGAAGTACTGGGATTGTTTAAACTGGAAAGAGAAAAAGCAAGGCCTAAGGCATCGTTACCCAAACAAGTTCCCCAGAACACCTGTCCGATGAGGTGGTCATTGGCATGTGGCCCAAGTCTAGTCATTGCTTTGTACAATATCCCACCTTGGAGAGTCACAGAAGTCTACTGTCAAGAATCCTGCTCCACTTTGCTTAACTCGACATTCCCAGTCCTTATTTGACCACTCCCTTCTCCTAGTAACACGATTAACATTCCACAGACACCTCAGGCCTTGCTGGTCTGGTCAGTTCTGCTAAATTTATGGCCCCTGATATTCTGGACAATCATGGTTTGAGTCAAGAAACAGCCTGGCTTATCGAGATGTTTGAATTTTGCAAAGTAATGCTATCCGCACACCAGCAGAAAGCACATTTATCAGTCTTTTTGTCCTTCATCCAGTTTCTGGTCTGGTCCCTTTGGTAGAAAACAGTCTGAGAGGCAGGGCACATGGTTTGACCTGAGGGAGTTACCAAAAATGCCATGACAAAAAAAGGAAGGCACCCACATTTTCTAGCCACCCTGCCTTCTTGCCATATGCCAATGAGAGTTAAACATGCACATGAACAATTGAGGGTAAAGAGGCAGAGAGACTATCAGTATCCAAGTGATTTCTGTTCATCCTTTAGGACAGGGTTGGGCATACTTTTCCTGTAAAGAGCCAGATAGTAAATATGTTAGGCTTTGCAGTCTACATGAACTCTGTTGCAACTACTCAACTCTGCAGTGTAGTTTGAAAGGAGCCGTAAACAATATGTCAATGAGTGGATGTGACCGTTCCAATAAAACTTTATATTCATATACGGAAATCTGAAGTGTGTATAATTTGCATGTCACAAAGTATTCTTCTTTTGATTTTCTCAACCATTCAAAAATATAAACATTCATTCTTGGTTCACAAATCCTCTAGAAACAGGCGACAGTCGGATTTGACCCTTGAGCTAGTTTGACACCCCCAGCTTTAGGAAATGTAAGAGACAAGTAGATGAGGAAATAGGGAGACAACAAAATATGTCTTGAGTATCTACTATTTGCCAGAGACTATGCCAAGTGCTGCTGAGGAGATAGCAGGGAAGGGGAACAAGCAAAATCCCTGCCCTTCGGAAGCACATGTTCTAAGCAAGAGATCCAAATAATGAACAAGATCATTTCAGGTTAGGTTCTTGGTATAGAGGCAATGAACAGAGTAATGAAATAGACCATGTCAGAGAGGCAAAGACAATCCTTTTTATCTTTGTGTCAGTTTCCTGTAGCTGCCATAACACAATGCCACAAATCAAGTGGCTTTAAAAGAAAAAAAAACAAAGAAATTTATTCTTTCATAGCTCTGGAGGCCAGAAGTCCAAAATCAAGGTGTCAGCAGGCAGTACTTTCTACAGAAGCTTCAGGGGAGAATCCATTCTTTGCCTCTTTCCACTCTGGTGGCTGTCAGCATTCCTTGGCATTTCTTGCCTAGTGACTGCTTCAGTCCAATCTCTGCCTCAGTGGACACATTCCCTCCTTGTCTGTGTGTTCTCCTGTCTCGAATCTCCCTCTGCCAAAGGCACCTGTCATTGAATTCAGGGCCCACCTGAATAATCTCCTCATCTCAAGATCCTAAACTTAATTGTATCAGCAAAGACCCCTTTTCCAAATAAGGTAACGTTTTGCAGGTCCGGATAATTCCTGAATTATCTTTGCTTGGCTATATGAAGTCACAGCCTGCCCACAAATAAATGTAGATAAAATGATCTACTGGAAAAGCACCATTCTGTAGCCACCACTGAAACAATGCACTCAGGCTAAAACCACGGTGTGAAAGGCCACTGGAAGAAAGGATATTCACACAGACTCTGTGTATCTTCCAACAGACTACTTATTCATTACAAAGGGGACAGGTACCTTTGTGGTAAAGAAACTTGATGAAATGCTTCTGAACCAAGTGATCAGGCCTTGCACCGATGTCATTGAAGTGGCGTACTGAGAGGACCCAACCTTACCTGCAGTTTCTCAACAGAAATGCATGAGCTGAATCTACTCATGAGGAAGCCAAATCGAGGGATATTCTGCAGATCTGGATTCTTCAAATCGAGGGACATCCTGGATTCTGCAGATCTGGATTTGCCAAGATAAGTTGACTGATTCTTCTAGACAGTAAACTCCTAAGGAACAATATCCATGTCTTACTCATCCCCCAATCCCCAGAACCAAGAACGGAATATTAGTGAAATAATGTAATTTAAAGTTTGTACAACAGGTACTTTTGAACTGCTTAAAATACCATAAAAGATTAGTTAACAACTTGAAAATATGATCACAGTATATTAAATGAGAAAAGCAGGGGCGCCTGGCTGGCTCAGTCGGAAGAACATGCAACTCTTGATCTTGGGGTCATAAGTTCGAGCCCCATGTTGGGTGTAGAGATTATTTAACCAAATAATTATTTTTTTAAAAAAAGATAAATGAAAAAAAAAAGCAGTTCATAAAAGTATGATCATTTGTGGTATATTTTCAGGAAACAAGTACAAGAATTTTCTTGAAAGTGTTAATAGTGGTTGTCCCTGGCTGGGAGGGTTATTGCTAATCTTTTTTTTTTCCTTTTTGTACAATTATACATTTTACACATTTTCTAGAGTATGCATTGCCTTGTAATAATGATGTCCACTCATTGGTGACACTGGTCTATTCTAAGAAGTAAAAGATGTGGGCACCCTTCCCCTCCAAACTTAATTAAAATACATTCTCATACCTAAACTGTACACTAACATTTTATAAATCATTTTTCTTAAGTATGAGTCCCCCAAACCAGACCGCTTGTGTATTTTCAAAATGTAAAAACCACGGCCCCACTAAGACCTAATGAACAACAATCTCCAGGAGTAGGAGGCCTGGGTGGCTCAGTGGTTAAGGCTACAACTCTTGATTTTTGGCTCAGGTCATGCTCTCAGAGTCGTGGAATCAAGTCCCGCGTCAGGCTCCATGCTCAGCATGAAGTCTGCTTGTCCCTCTCCCTCTGCTCCTCCCCCCGCTTGCACTCTCTCTCTCTCAAATAAACAAACAAACAAATAAATAAATAAAATCTTTTAAAAAAAAAGTCACCAGGAGTAATACCTGGGTAGATGTCCTTGATAAAAATACTGGAGTTGCTTGCTAGCTTTGTCATTCCTATATTAAGAACCAATGTTTTGGGTGTTATATGTAAGTGATGAATCACTAAATTCTACTCCTGAGACAAAAAAAAAAAAAAAAAAGTTAAAAAACCCTAGGCTCCCTGGCATAATAGGTAAGATTTTATTAGCACATGTCTCTGAAATTGTACTTATGTATCTCTCTCTCAGCATCAACTTTGAACTGCTGGAGGCAGGGAATTTTGTTTGATTCTTCTTGCTATTGCAATGACTGATGGGTAAGTGGTGCTTCATCAGGGTTAGTGAGAGGGATGGATGCTTGCATGCAAGAATAATAAACACCATTCACCTTACTCCTTATTTCTGCCACTGTTTTGTAGCCCAAATCTAGCTTGCTCATCTGGAAAATACAGGCATACCTCAGGGATATTGCAGTTTGGTTCTAGAGCATGCAATAAAGCCAATATGACAAATAAAGTGAGTCAAATATATATTTTTTGTTTGCCAGTGCATATAAAAGCTATGTGTATACTATGTAACAGTCTGTTAAGTATGCAACAGCATTATGTCTAAAAAAATGTACAACCCTAATTAAAAAATACTTCACTAAAAAATGCTCACCATCATCTGAGCTTGTGGAGAGTCATCATCTTTTTGCTGGTGGAGGGTCTTGCCTCAGTGTGGATGGCTGCTGAGTGATCCGGGAGGGGGTTGCTGAAGGTGGGGTGCTGTAGCAATTTCTTTAAAACAAGACAACAATAAAGTTTGCCACATCGATAGACTCCTCCATTCATGAATGATTTCTCTGTGTAGCACGTGATGCTGTTTGATTGCATTTCACCCACAGTAAAATTTCTTTCAAAATTGGAGTCCATCCTCTCAAACCCTGTTGCTGTTTTATCAACTAAGTTCATGTAAATTCTAAGTCCTTTGTTGTCATTTCAACAATCTTCAGAGCATCTTCACCAGGAGTAGATTCCATCTCAAAAAACTACTTTCTTTGCTCATTCTTAAGAAACAACTCCTCATCCGTTCACATTTTATCATGACATCGCAACAATTCAGTCACATCTTCCGGCTCCATTTCTAATTCCAATTCTCTTGCTAATTTTCACATCTACAGTTACTTCCCCCATTGAAGTCTTGAACCTTCAATTTGTAAAAAAAACAAAAAACAAAAAAACCACAGTATCTGCAAAACACAGCCCAGCAAAGTACAATAAAACGCGGTATGCCTGGAATCATGTTAGGCAGCTAGAATTGTAACCTGACCAAAAAAGAAAACAAGTTTAGAAATATGAAATAATTCTAGTAGGTAGATTTGCCACATGGAAATGACAATGAGGCATAAAGATATGGAGTGGCTTCATGCACAAGATATTTTTAAAATGCAAACTAAACTTTTCTGTAGCTTTTTATCCATACCAGGCACTAGTCCAATAATATCAGGCTTTTGGCCATCAGCTTTAATTAATTCAATTCTACATTGAAGTCAGTATTCTTCAATAACTCCCTTTTCCAAAAATGCATTTGAGGTATTGATGTTAACATTTTATTAATAGCTCTGCAATATTTGCACTCTGTATAACATTAGTATCAGGGATCCAAAAATAAAATGAAGTGGAACTCAATTTTTCCTGGGCAGACTTCAGCCCTATTTGCCAAATAAGTATAGTCCATATATATGTGTATCAGTGTGGCCACTAATTTATCCAAAACCCCAGATTTTTATCAAGTGCTTAGTAGCTATCAGATACTGTAGAATTTATATATTCAGGGACCAAGGAGATGTTTGTAAAAATGACCACAAATTCTCCTCCCTATGTCTATATCCTTGCAGTGTGATATCACACTTCCCATCAAAAGGTAAAATCTATTTCCCCAGCCCTTGCATAGGAGTTGGTCCTGTGATCTGTGGGAAGAAAAAAAAAGAGAGAGTGAGATACAAGCAGTGATTCCCCTATAAGGGTTTCCTCTCCTGCTGGTTTTGGGGCCCTCACACTACCATGTGGATGAGCCTGAGCTAGTCTGGTAGAGAAGACACATGGAGACAAACCCAGGCTCTCTGGCCAGATGCCAGACACATCAGCAAAGCCTTCCTGGTTATGTGGCCACCATCTCACCCATCGGCTGACTCTAGACATGCGGCAAGCCCAGAAGAAATCAGCTGAGCTGCCCAGATCAGAATCGCCTGACCACAGAATCACGAACTAAACATATGGCTGTTTTAAGCCACCAAATTGGGGGTGGGGAAGCTTTACTAACAAAAGCTATCTGACTAAAACAGGCAAGAGTTTTACAGTTCAAAACACTACAGTCTAAAGAATTCTTACTCAGGGACTTTTGCGGGACGTTCACATAAAGTCAAATCTGCAAAGCCTCAATTTTGTTCACCCTGTGTGACGGACAAAACAGCTACTGGAAGCCCAGTAAGTGCACTCAGGCTCAGGGGAAACACCACAGTTTATTCAGCAAACATTTACTGAGCATCTATGGAGTCCATGGGAATACAAAGATGATTAAATAACTCAGGCTCTGCTCCCAAAATTCTTAGCCAAGGAAATGGAAAAACACAATAGTAATCAGAGGATTAGAATAAAATCTGATAATCTCTGTGAAAGAGTCAGGCATGCTGGAGGCGGCAGGGAGGGTGAGTAAAGAGAAGGGATCGAAGGCCTTCTGGTCCTACCACTGAAGCCAGATCTTGAGAGATCTTGAGGAGATAAAAGAAGTCAGCCAGGAGAAGTGGGGGATGGGAGTTTACAGGGTCAAGGAGAAAGGAGGGAGCCAGGATCCCATTCACGATAACTTCAAGTAGTTCCCTGGAATTGGAACCCAGAGCACAAAAATGGGAAAGCGGCAGACAAGAGTGGAGCTAAAGAGGGAAGGGTGATGGCACCCCACACAGTGAGAGGTCATGCTAAGAAACTTGAGTTGTATTTTGAAGGTAAAGGGGAGCCACTGAAAGTTTTTGAGGTGGGGAGATGACATGGTAAGTCTGCTCAACTTGCCAGGAGTGAGAATGGTGAGAGGGAAGTCAACTGGAGGCAGGGAGACCAAGGAGTTAAGTTGCACTAAATGTCTTGAAATCATGATCTACCTGTGGTTGGGAAGATATAGTGATCAGCATTGAATTCATTGCATCAAATGGGGGTGGGGTGATCAGGGATAGGTAAGAGAAGATAATTGTCAAGGGTAGATTAGGGACTTACTAATACAATGGGGGAGCTGGTTTGAAGATAAGAGTTGGAAGCTGAGCTTTTTTTTTTTTAAGGTTTTTTATTTGAAAGAGAGAGAGAGAGCCTGTGCCTACATGAGTGCCCGTGGGGGGAGGGGCAGAGGGAGAGAATCTTCAAGCAGTCTCCCTGCTGAGCGTGGAGCCCTGTGGGACAATTGATCCCATGACCTTTCTATGAGATCATAACCTGAGTCGAAACCAAGAGCCAGCCATTCAACTGACTGAGCCACCCAGGCACCCCAGAAGCTGAGTTTTGACATATTGAGTCTGGGGCATCCACGAGAACGCCGAATGGAAATGTACACCAGGAATGTGCTGCTGGGGAGCTCAGTAGAGACATGGAAGCTGAAGGTTCAGATTAAGGTGATGGATGTAGAGACATTCCCCAAGAACTTTTGGGGCTATGCCCTTGGGAAAGTAACTTTCCTCTCTGGTTTCCCTGTTTGTAAAATGAAGATATTAATCATTATGTGACAGGGTTGTGGTGAAAATTACACATCATAATGCTAAACACAATGCTTGGTACATGATACGCACTCAACACATGCTTATTATGAATGAGAATCAAGAGGGGAATGTATTCAGTGAGAAAAGGCCCAGGAGGGGCGGGGATCTGGGGAGCTCCAGTATTTAAGAAACAGGCTAAGGAGCAAAGGATACTGAAAGAAAAAAAATAAGCAAAAGAAAACAAGGTAACCACTCAGAAAGCTGCTTACTAATATACTAAGATATACTAATATCTTCCAAAGAAGGTCATACACATTGACCAATAATTCCTCTTCTGTGTATCTATCCTAAGGAAATAATTTTTTTTTTAATTAAGAACAATATGGGGCACCTGGGTGGCTCACTCGGTTAATTGTCTGCCTTCAGTTCAGGTCATGATCCCGGGGTCCTGGGATGGAGCTCTGCGTCGGGCTCCCTGCTCAGCGGGGAGTCTGCTTCTCCCTCTGCCTCTGACCCTCCGCTCCTGCTCTCCCTCAAGCTCACTCTCTCTTTCTCTTTCTCTCAAATAAATAAATAAAATCTTTAAAAATAAATAAGAACAATATTTGTATAAAATGTCTACTGTGCTTTAAATAAACAGAAACATAGAGAAGAGTTATAAAAACTGTGGTAAATTTACAGGACTTACTTTATAACAAGGGTGGTGGGTCCAAGTTGGGACAGTGATGACAAATGAGGATGTTCATAAACCAGAACAAAGTATACCAACTATGAATAGAGATCAGATTATATGATATGAGAATTTCTCATTTTTATTATTCCTTAATTCATTACAGTGAGTATGTATTAATCATACCCCAAAACCCCTACCTAAAAAAAATAAATAAATAAAAGGAATTACAGATATTTTACTGGGGGGAAGGAGGGGCGGGAGAATACTCACCTTGCTTCCAATGTCACTCAAAATATGACCTCTGCCTTTCTATGATTGTTTCTAATGATTCTGATGATTCCTCATCATGTAACCTTCCTCCTGCCAAATTCAGCTTGTTGAATTGAGTTTTCCTACTTCCTACCCTCCTTTCCTTTCTCAGACTTTTCCCTCTGCTGGAATGCTGCCTCCCAGAGACCAATACCTGACCTCTAACTCGACAGGCCTGTCTATCAAAACATACCTATCCCACCAGCCCCACTGGCCCCTCTGACCCACCTGGATCTTATCTCTAATCTCTCTTTCTAGTCAGTGACTATGGCTTTGTGCTTCCTTCAAGGCATTACTATTTCATTTCATGCCCAGAATACTCACCCTAAGGTCATTCTATGGACAAGCTTGGTTGGGGGTTGGGGGGAGATCTCCAAACACTCTAATATCATTGCAAAACTATGTGTGTGTGCACATACGTGCTTTTTTTTTTTTTTTTTTTTTGAGAGAGAGAGAGAGGACTCATAACTTTCACCAGATTCTCAAACTTTCCATGAACCAAAAGACAGTAAGAAACACCATTCAATTCTCATTTGGTCCTTCTGTCCTACCGGCTGGAGGAACCTCCAGGATTTATCCAGCTTGGTGCCTGGGAAAGAGTCTTGCCGAAAACAGGCATTTGGTTGTTGAATTCAACTGAATGGAGTCAACACAGATGTTGGCATCTACCAAGTGGAAAGGGGAAAGTTTTAAAAAGAAAGAAAGGTCACCTGGGTGGCTCAGTCGTTGAGCGTCTGCCTTCGGCTCAGGTCATGATCCCAGGGTCCTGGGATCAAGCCCCGCATCGGGCTCCCAGCTTGGCGGGAAGGCTGCTTCTCCCTCTCCCACTCCCCCTGCATGTGTTCCCTCTCTCCCTGTCTCTCTCTCTGTCAAATAAATAAATAAAATCTTAAAAAAAAAAAGAAAAGAAAGAAGGAAAAAAAACCCAAAAAACAAACCTTACCTCCTCCAATGTAAAGATTCTATCACAACCCACACAAGAACAAAAGTGAAAGTGAAATCACTGTATTTTCTTTAAAAACCTAGGGCCCAGCCTGCTAGCAAGGCTAGGATTAGGGGATCGGGCGAGGTCGTGCGCAGTCCTCAATCTGCCCCTGACTCACCTCTATTTTGAGTCATAATTCTCTCAAATTCACTATACCTCATTTCCTATTTATGCAACACGGGAAAATAGTTCTTGCCCCTTACTTACCCAATGAGGAGGTCGTCAGGAAAACAGATGACACACAGAATGCTTTCTGAACACTTCATTAGGCGGTCTCCACAAATCTTTTCATCAGCAAGCCTGTGACTGCAAAGGCCCGCTCAGCTGTAGTGCTTGTTTTGATGTCCCGATGCTTTCTTTCAGGTCTAAAATATTTCCAAATGTGCTCAAGTTTAACATCGACGGTAAGAAAAATCTTGGGCTGGAATGTGCTCTGACCACACTCCAGAGCAGCATTTCTCAATTTTTAACCCATATTCCCATTTGATAAGCATTAGAAATCTTGCTCCCTCTTTAAACTTTGTATTATGAAAACAAGGGTTGATTCCCCCCCATTTTCAAAGTCTACACTTCTATAATAAATACTATTCGGCAATAAAAAGGAATGAACTATTGATTTGTAACAGCATGGATGAATCTCAGAAGCGTTATGCTGAATAAAAGAAGCCAGATCAAAAAGAGTACGTTACATATGACTCTATTCACACAAAATTCTGGAAAAGCAAAGGACTCTCCATGACAGACAAGCAGTTGTGGGGGGCGGTGGTGGGGGGGGTGGTATGGCAGGAGGGGCTGTAGGAAACTTTAGGGGGAAGGAGTGACAGAGATATGCCCTATCTTTTTTTTTTTTTTAAAGATTTTATTTATTTGATAGAGAGAGAACAGTGAGAGAAGGAACACAAGCAGGGGGAGTGAGAGAGGGAGAAGCAGGCTTCCCGCCGAGCAGGGAGCCCGATGCAGGGCTCAATCCCAGGACTCCGGGATCATGACCTGAGCTGAAGGCAGACACTTAATGACTGAGCCACCCAGGCACCCCGAGATATGCACTATCTTGACTGTGACATTTCCACAGTGTAAGCACACGCATCTGCATGTATACACCAATGAATTCTGATTTTGAAAATTGTATTATACCACTGAATTCTTTTCAAGGAAATTGAACCTTGTCCACCCTGTGCCCATAAAAATTGTTCTAAAAGGTGAGCTTATGGACCATCTAGACTGTCTGTGATTCATCCTTGAATGAATCCCCCAGGACTTGGCACAGCAAGCAAGCATTTAACACTCGGTACTCCTCACTTCCCCCGAGGCCTGGCAGCTTCAGGCCCCGTGCTCATTCTGTTCCCTCCCCGCAAGGGACCCCCTGCTTCTTTCTCCTGCTCTTCAGGCTTCATTCCAGATGCAGCTCAGGAATCTCCGAAGCTGAGTCCATCCCCTCCTTGGGTTCCTATAGCTCCTGGGTATATCTCTAGCCGCCACTCACCACTTCGTACTGATTTTTATCTGTTTAGGCTTCTAAGCTCCCCCCTGAAACTGTACAGTTAAAGGGGTTCTCAATGATTTTTGGTGCCTCAGTCACCTTTGGCAGCCTTGTGAAGCCTTCTCAGAATAAGGTAAAATACACAGGCAAATGCAGTCAACGATATTATGAAATATGGGTGACCAACTAGCAAAACCTAGATTTGATGTAAGAACACATGTGCCTTTTTACTGGTGTGTGAAATGACAATATCCAGTGGGAGGCCAAATAACCGCCATTATTTCAAAGTAGTGATATGTAGACGCAGTATTTCAAGAGAGCAGCAAACAGCTGTGATAGGATATGTAATATGAAAATACGTGTGCTTCCTGGTGACAAGTCACAGGTACCTCTAATCCTGCTGTGGCTTTTCATCACCATTTCTCCCTGCAGGAAATACTGCATTGCGGTTAGAGGTTACTGAAAATGTGATCTTTTCCCCATTCAAGTTCCCAAAGCCCCTAAATTCCACCAAGGACATGGATCCATGGACACCTGGATAAGAACTGCTCTTTAGAGAGGCCGTGGGCTATTTATCTTTGTGTTCTCAATGCTCTTAGCACACAGGGGTGGGGGGTGGGGTGACAGCCACGAAACAATTGTAATGATCACAATGGCAATATTAAGTATGAATTCAAAAACAGAGATGAATAATTTCTCCTGCTAATTCTTGTCACCATTACGACTGGTATGCTTCCACCAAACTGTATCCTGGAAAATTGTTCACTGAGTACCAGGGAATTTCAGGTACATCTACCTGGAACCACATGGTCCTTTGGCCACCTTCTAACATATTCCTCAGTTCTCCAAGCATTAATATTAAGCCATCTAAAGAGACTATGTAAAGATCGAGGAGGTTTAGAGGAGAAAGTCAGCCCTCCCCCGCAACCACGACCTCACTGTGTCCGTCCGCCGTGACCTTCACAGGGACGGTATAGCTCTAGATACATGAGGAATGTAAGAAATTCCCTTGGCTCAGTCTTTTTCTTCCCACTGCAGCAGTGAATAATGCAAGATGCACTGTCCCCACCGAGCCTCTCTCTTAATATTACTAAATACTTCCTTTCTTCTCGTTTAACTGTTGCAGTTATTGCTGAGAGCATTTCGTAAGGGTGTAAAAATAATGAAACCAGCTCAAGTGAACCAGAGTGACAGTGAAGCGCCCAGTGGGGAAAAACCTTGTTCACTGTGAATTTTCACATGACCCTCTTCAGCCTGATGCTGCATATTCAACCATGCACTCTGGGGCCCAGCTGGTGTGCGTGGGCTTAGGCCATACATAGAAGGAAAAAGCATCTCCTCTGCCCCCCACTCTGTGACCCATTTCCCCCAGCTTTGGCCGAGGACTTGTTTCTTAACTTCCAGCAGAGTTCACACAAATGAAGGTGTGTTAAAAATTTTTTACCTTAAACCTCTTTTTTTCACTCCCATCCAAGAAATTTGGAAGCCACTCTTAGCCGAAATCAGTCAAATTCAAAAGGATGTTGAGCAAGCCTATTGATCCATCCCCACCCCCTTCCCCGTCCAGCCCTAAACATCTGCAACATTAAAAATGAGATAAGAAGTTTAGGACACCGAGTATCTGAAGATAGGGGCTCATGGCCTAAGCGAGGACTTTGTGAGGTCCCGCAGAAGCACCCAGTGATGACATGCCTAGGTCGCTGGCGGAGGGAGGTGCGGCGCTGAAGGAAGCCAGGAGCCGTTCCCTGGCCTCCCCTGGGGTTCAGCCAAAGCTGTCCGATGCTCAGGACGCTCTCTCTTCCATCTTAAAACTCTCTCACTCACCAGCTTCTTACCTTTCGTCCCCAAACATGCTCACATCAATTGCACTTTCAAGTGGTAACAACTACCTTTACACCACTTCTCCCCAAAGTTAGCAAACCGCTGCCCCATTATCTCTGTGTTCTAACTTCTTAAGAGAGCAGTCCACAGTCGTGTCCTCACTTCCTCCCCCTTGCTCTCTTCTCGAACCTCTCTCAGCTCTGTTTCCAGCCACCAGCCTCTGTGCTAGTTTATTAAGAGGGAGGGTGCTAATGTCAATGACCTCATAATTGCCAGGTGGATGCCCTGGGTGGCTCTGAGTCCTTCCCTGGCCCAATCCAGGTGATGCCTGCCCCTCCTTCCATCTGGAAACCGTCCTCCCTGTTCTCCTCCTACCTCTTAGTTTTGCCTCCATTTTTCCTTACATGTTGGTGTTCCTAATTTTCCTCCTGTAGTCCTGTTGTCTTAATCTAACCGTTCTCCTTAGCAGATCTCGTCGATTGGGCTTGCAACTTTTTTTGCTCATGAATCCCCTAAAATAAAATCTCCATGCCCCTAGGCCAAGTCTAATTTGACATTCAAATTTTAACCCAAGTTCAAATGGTTGCAAAGAATCTCGTTTAGGGTGTTTTGTGCATGCACAAGCTCTTTAGCAGTCAGAAAGGGCACATCATTCTTTTTTCTAAGTCCTATGTCCATTCTATTTGCCCCGCAGATTTTTTAATTAGCTTTATTGAAGTATCAATCACATATCATATAATCCATCCACTTAAAGTGTACAATTTCATGGTTTTTGGCATGGTCACAGAGTTGTGCAATTATCACCACAATCCATTTTAAAACATTTTCATCACCCTGAAAAGAAACCTCCTACTGATTGCCAATCACACCTCATTCCCCACTGCACTACCACAGCCCTAAGCAACCACTAATCTACTTTGTCTATAGGTTTGCTTGTTTGTTCTGGGCATTTCATACAAATGGAATCATGCAATATGTGGTCTTTTGTGACTGGCTTCCTTCACTTAGCATAACATTTTCAGGGTTCATTCATGTTGTAGCATGTATCAGTACTCATTCCTTTTTTATTATCCAATAATATTCCATTATCTGGATATGCTACATTTTGTTTATTCATCAGATGGTGGACATTTGGGTTGTTTCTCTTTTTGGCTATGATGAACAATGCTGCTATAAATATTCATGTACAAATTTTTGTGTTACCCACAGATTTTTAAACCCGATTTTTTATGTTTCTTTTTTTTTAAGATTTATTTATTTATTTGGGGGGGAGAGAGAGAGAGAGCGCATGCCAGCGAGTGGGGGGAGGAGCAGAGAGAGACAATATCCAAGCAGACTCCGTCCGAGTGTGGAGTTTGTGCCGGGCTCAATCCCATGACCCATGAGATCATGACCTGAGCCGAAACCAAAAGTCAGAAGCCCAACCAACTGAGCCACCCAG